AGGTGTATATCAATAAGCATATGTAATCATGTACAAAACAAAAGACATCATTACAATTTGGCATCTCGTTTTACGCAGAATCAAAAGTAAAAATAAAAAATAAAATTTCATTCTCTATACTACTGATAGGCATGCACGAAAAACACTTAGATTTGTCTCATTATGCTTATATATATATAAGTTGCATATATATATATATATATATATATATATAACTATTAACCATTCATTAGGTACCAAATCAGGTCACGCAATTTAATAAAAATAACAAATCTAGTAATTGAAATATTATATGTACTGAGAGATATATTTTATGAAACCAAAATCTGACAAAACAGATCACATACAACATATATAGGTGTATCATAATGAGACAAAACTGATCACAGACAAATAGATCCGTGACAGTAATTCAAAAAACGCTACTAGTGTACGAAATTGAAAAAGGTTTGATCAGATCTGTTAAATTAAAATTATTTAATTGTTTAATTTTAATTTAAACTTAAACATATTATTTATGCAAATATAATGAAAAAATAATGAGTTCCAAAACTTGGGCTCTGATACCACATGTAAAAACCCTAATTAATTTGTGTTAAACATTAATCACAAATAATCATAAATCCCTAGATCTTAGAATTTCAATTAATTTCATATCCTCATAACGCATATATCTATATAGTTAGATATACATACCTCGATTCATGATATCAAACCTTGTTGAGATTAGGTCTAACGTCTAGATCCTTTAACCGCGAACTAATCTGCAACTCTGATCAACAGCCAAAGATGGAAACTGGTTTCTCTCTCCTGGCCTTTTGCACACATAAAACTATTACGCGTTATATCAATAATCGTACATAATTGATGGAATATATGCACTTTTATAAAGGTAGAGAGAGAACCAGTTTTCCTTTTAGTAACATAATTTTACTTTCCATCAAAGTAAGGAATTAGAAGGAAAACACTTCTCCAATAAGTAATTACCAAAAAGGTAATTATAAGTTGACCAAGAAAAATTAATTGATATCTATTTACTTAGCCACCAAGTAATATGTCACATGTCCAAATCATGTGAGCAATAAGTAAATAAATAATCTTACACCTTCATCACATCACACTTGGGAGGAACGCAACAGAAGAATATTTAGGAAAGAGAAATGTTCATAGAGAGTAGTGCTGGCCAAGATCAATTCCTCTATCACATCAATTCTTAGACTTGGGTTTCTAAAGGATTACGCTACTTCGACGAGAATCCTCACTGAATGGAATCTTCCTCCTTCTTACTGCAAACCTCCTCCCCGTCCTCCAGATTAACTCAATTATGACAACAACCGGACCTTGAATCGGACACCGGAATGTGGTTAAAATGATCTCAATTAACGGTTAAAATGGCAGTTATTTGATTGCTCATCTTTTGTTATTTTGGCTGGGCTTGTGCCCTAGATTGCCTACTTGGGCCTGTTTTACTTATGGTCTTGTAATGGGCTATGGCCCCAACCTTGTACATATTTCAGTTGCTTCATTTTCCCAAAAAAAAAAATCAGATTGCTATGGAAAAGTTTTTTTCTAGGGGTTTGTACTAAATTGTCAAACATATGGTTTAAACTACGGATAGTACTTGTAAAATATTATCAAATCATATCATGTCATTATTTACATCAAATATTTGGGATCATTTGCTCTAATGGGTTTGATTCAGCTGATCATAAGTTCAAAAAAAATCAAATGCTATATTCCGGAACTAGAATTTAACCGAAAAACCTAATTCTATTGCAACTAATCACAATAGCTGCAATTTCAGGTTTGGTGGCATCCCCCTAAAAGAAACCCTTCTTCTAAAATGTCGTCGTTGGGGCATTTATTGAAAGACATACACTAGTTGCTAAACAATTCCAAAAAAATTCGTCACCGTATTTATCGACAGAATGTTGGCATTGATCTCCGGAACTTATTTATTTATTTGGTCAAGGGTAATTTTATAGATGAAATAAAAATCTGTACAGAGATACATCACCATACCAGGCCATAGAAGGCCACCAAAACAAGATTTACAGAGCTTTACAAGATCTCAGCCACTTGAAATTAAAAGGCTGTGGTAGTCTTATGGCTGAGTTGTGGGCCATTGCTAGTGATGGAAAGTTAGCCTAGCCATTTTGCCTTTTGGTACACATACATGGGCCACTCACTTGTGCATGCACAAACTTGATATGAACCTGAAGTTTGGACTGAGTTTCGGGTCAAGGCTTTGAGTGAAAATGGGCTCGAGCTAAGTGGCCCCCAATACCCAGGGTTCTTAGTTCTACACCATGAGCTGAACCTAAGTAGTCTGTGCAGAATTTGTGTCTCCAATCTTTATCCTAAAACTAGACAAAATTGCACTTGGTTTTGAAAGCTCATCCCTAGAGCTCATTTATCTTTTTCCTTTAATTTAAAGCTATCAGTTGATTAAATTTATATTTTCATTTATTAGTATAGGGTTTATTATATATAGGGTTAATTATACGCTTTTCTGTAGTTTCAGAAATTACACAGACTCCCTTAAAAATGTAACTGACCTGTACAAACCTCTTTTACGTGACATTCAACACGAGTCAATGATGAATTTTACAAATTTCATGTACTGAATAAATTAAAATTCTAAAAACACCCTTATCTTCTTCAGTATAACTGGTTAGGAATTTGATGATTGAAATATACAGCTATCTTTATATACATATGTACACATACATAAACTATAAAGATATATTAGAAGCCCTAGGCGTAGCCGCCGTCGATCACCACGACGTCGTTGTCGTCAGATCCCGACGCGAAGCCTCTAGAGAAGAAGGTTAGAGAGAGTCAACTCATGCACATATTTAATTATAGGGTAATTTACACAGACATTCCTTATGGTTTGTCATAATTACAGACGACACCCTTTCTGTTTTTGAAATTACGCAGACCTCCCATACTTTTTAAAATATCTTACAAGGACCTCCTCATCTGTGACGGATGGTCAAATACACCTATAGAGCTATCAAAATTACTGAAATACCCTCTCCTTGGCATCTAAAATTACGAAACTACCCCTCTCAGTTATTGGGTAGGCATGACATCAGCTTGTCATCTTCTCCAAAAGCAAATTTTCATGTGTGTGTACAGAACAGAGAACACCATTAGCTTTGAACTACCAATATCATCATTCAAAACCCTAATCACCTCAAATAATAGTTTACTTGAACCAAAAAAACTTAAAAATTGGTTGAAAAGGAATACTGAATACCAATTTGAAGAGACTACCACTGAAAATAGAAAAGCTCACCGGCGTTGGAAATACTTGTCGGCGTCAAACAATAGCCACCGGCGAAAGAGAGAGAAGATGATAAATCTATAGAAACTCTGAATTCACAAATTTTTTTTTTTCACTTTCGGATTCCAAGTTTGTTAAAAGTTCAGCAATCTAGATTTTTTTTTTTTGTTTTTTTTTTTTTTTTCTCTGTGTTTTGGAAATTTGTGATCGTTTTGAATGGAAATTGGTGGCGCCCTAGTTCATGTTTCTAGTCAACTAGGAACAAGAAAAAGAATGACCAGTGATCCTTATGGCACTTCATTGAAAGACAATAAACCTGCAGAAAGTATGTGGAATCATAATTTACTGAAACAAGAAAAAATGTTGTGTCATAAATGGTATAGCAATTAAAAGGTAAATTAATTATATATTTTTGGGAGCAGTAAATCTAATGATCTTAGTCTATCATAGTATATATATCATGATATCATTTTGATGGTAATATATATATATATATATATATATATATATATATAGATGTGGTAGACCATATGGTCTGGTCTCTGGTGCCTAAGTTTCACATGATGTGTATTTCAAGAGATGACCAATCACTTTCTCACACTAGATCAGCAAATTCATGTTTCTAGTCCAAATTCTCTTGCAGTGCTGGAGGAATCGTACCCACCTTCGGCCGGAACTTTCAGGTCCAAGCTCGCCGGAAATTAGATTGTCTCACAACCTCGCCGTCCCAGATCCTCACTGTCGCCATCTCACAGCCTCACCGTCTCAAACCCACCACCACAACCTGTCGCGCCACAGATCCTCGCCGCCATCACAGATCCTCACCGTCACAGATCCTCACTGTCGCCATCTCACAGCCTTGCCGTCGCCATCTCACAGCTTCACCATCTCAAACCCACCACCACAACCCGTCGCCATCACAGATACCCACCACCACAACCCGTCGCCGTCACAGATCCTCGCCGCCGTCATAGATACTCACCGCCATCACCAACTAAACCAGATGAAGGCTATATATATATATATATATATATCTATCTATCTTTTAAATATAATATTTATTTAATTATATAGACTGGCGTTGACCGTAACTGAAGGAAGATCCGTGTAAGATATTTTAAAAAGTAAGGAAAGTCTGCGTAATTTTCGTAACAGGAAGGGTATCGCCTGTAATTATGACAAACCATAGAGGAAGTTTGTATAAATTATCCTTAATTATACAAGACTTGAACCATCACCCTTTTACTTTGGAATGTAAAGAAAATTTCACTACACTGTAATCCTTGGTCATGTATGATATTTTAGGCTTATATCAAATGTAACACATGATTATATTAATGTTGAAACTTGAATCTTGTAAATTATACGTGAATACACAAAAATTCGTGATTTCTTGACTTGTATATGTTGAATTTTGACGCGCACTTTTGTAGCCACTATGTGGCTGTAGTTTTGTTGTAAGAATTCCACGTTGTGGCCGAATCCCAGTAGCCACATCTTGTTATGCCCTCTTAAAAAGAACTCTAAACCTCTTTTTCGTGATCATACAAACATAGTTTTAGATAATGGCTGAATCAAAAATAATAATTTATAGACCAGTATGATTATTCAATTGCTTTGAACTCAATTGATTCTTGAAATTCTAGACGTGGCTTAACAAAGGCCCTCTGATGTTCTCCAATAATGCAGGCTTTATCTAGTTCATATCTGATTCTTATAAATTATTGCAAAATTTAAATTCTCACATCTCTAACAATAACATGACTCCCAATAATTTATCTAGCTTTTGGGCTATACCCTAAACTATTTGGTCAATTCTGACTGCGTTACAAGTCGTGTGCTCAATCCTTGCTAGCAGCAATAAATTGGCTGCAAAATGTAGCCAAAAAAATCTATGAAAAATATGTTCATTCCGGATGACACGTCTAAGACTTTTCAAAATCAAACAAAAGCTGACACTGATGGGAGTGGTCAAGACAAACAGACAACGTAATATATACGTGATACAAAAATTGATACAGATTGAGACACTGGACAACCCAAGGAAAATTCTAAGCATCGAGAAACCACAATTTTAAGTCATGTTGACCAAGTCAGCCTCTTGAGCACTATGGTCTGAACTAATTGAAGAAAGCATATGATCAATTTCCAGGAAAGGACTTAAATTTCTTCCAGTTTTACCACCATCACACACAAAGTCTTCTAATGTAACTTGTGCTACCTGGAATGGTAGTCATAGAAAAGTCAGAATAGAATTGTAATTTACTTCTAGTGCTCAATTTGGCATTCAAACAGAACATGTTGAACTTTCCATTGAATGTGCAATGTTGGTTTTTGTTTGACAAGTCATGTAACAAGCAGAAAATTCAAGACTTAAGCAATAGGTCTGTACAAATACTAATCTCTCAACCTCAGCTGATACATTCATATCACGTGGGCTTGAATTTATTCATTTCACATTTCATAGCATACTGGTCCATCTTTGGAAAATTTGATTGAAAATATTTGAATTGTTGACTAGGATATTATTGATCACAAAAGGTATAAAAGCTATTGTCTGAAAAAAAAAAAAAACATAATAATAGGAGCTTAAAAAAAAAAAAAAAAAAAAAAAAAAAAAAGATTACTCAGCATAAAAAGAAAAGAAATTTTTTAAAATTGCTTAATTCTTTGTTTAGGAAAAGGCTATCTATTGTGATGTGATCGAAAGCTCACATTAAACTTTGAAGAGGAATTTTTAATAAGTGTCTTGGTTTCTAACCTTAACTATCTAGGGTGTAGTTCAGTAATTGATGCTTCATTCACAGACCATTGGACTGACTTGCTTGTAGATTGATCTGACTCCAGCCCTTTTGGTATGGTCGCCTTGGTTCTGCTACGGCCAAAGACCGGAGGATGTCGAGGCAATTGTAGAGTAACAGAATAACTATTGAGCATAAGAACCACAGTTGCCATAGAGGGTCTGGCATCCACATCTTCTTGAACACACAATAAGCCAATATGGATGCATCTAATGACTTCATTTCTTGAATAAGAATCTGTTAGAGTTGGATCCATCAATTCCAAGGGTGTTCCATCCCTCCAATGTTTCCAAGCCTGTGACAATTTGTTAATTGATGTTAAAAAGATGTGTTGCTCCTAAATGCATGCTGAGATGCTCATATTGATATTGACAAAGAAGAATAACATTTGTAACATTCAGTTTGCACTCACATGGCCCAAAAGGTCTCCAACACCATCGGATTGATAGAAACTACTATTTTTCCTGCCAGTTATCATCTCTAGAATTAGGACTCCAAAACTGAACACATCAGACTTCACAGAAAATTGTCCATGCATTGCATATTCTGGAGACATGTAACCACTGCAACCCAGCATCATTGGTACAACAACGTAAGAAGTTAAGAACACAACAACAAAGTCTATTTGACAGTACTTCATAGTAAAGCAAAACATTTGGTGATGGAATGCACAAAAGTTAATGGAAAAGCAACAATTAAAGCAGACACTGTTTGAATTATCAAAATGACCTTTACCCTTCTTTTTTTTTTGGCCTCCAATAAGTGCTAATTGAGATTAGGCATTCTGAATTCATTAATGCATACTTTGGGAAAGAAAGAAGCAAGGGATGTCTGGGGTTCAAAACTTACTATGTCCCAACGATTCTACTCGTATTTCCTTGAGTTTGATCCACACCAAAAATCCTTGCCATGCCAAAATCTGAAATTTTGGCATTCATATTTTCATCTAAAAGTACATTGCTAGCCTTAAGATCACGATGTATTATTCTAAGTCGAGAATCTTCATGAAGATACAAAATTCCACGTGCAATGCCTCCTATAATCTTGTAACGTTTCATCCAATCCAACTGAAGTTGCTTAACCGGATCTATACATTAATCATGATCAAAAAAAAAAAAAAAAAAATTCAAGTTAGAATCAAGAATTTAGATTTCATAATACTAAATAAAAATGTGATTCAGCAAATAGACGAATCTAGTGTACATTATACTATGACTCACAATGTTTGGAACCCATAATAAATCAACATTTTGTAGGGCATTTGAACATCAATATATATGTTTATTTAAGATACCCTTTTTTTCTTTTTTTTCTTTTTTTTCTTTTTTTTCTGTTTGCAAATTCAGATAATGTGTTGTCATGTAGAACATAAGACAAAAATAGATAAATTTTTAGAGATGAACAAAACCAAATAGGAAATAGTCAAGGCTTTTGTTGGGGACGAATTCATAGACAAGTAATTTTTCTTCTCCTTCCAAGCAGAATCCCAGCAGTCTCACTAGATTTCTGTGTTGAAGCTTGGCTACCAATACAACCTCATTCTTAAATTCTTGTGCACCTTGTCTGGATCTTTTGGACAGTCTCTTCACAGCTATCTCTTGTCCATCTGCAAGTGTGCCCTGCGCATATATATGTAATAATATGATAATCAATTATTGAATGTTTTATCTGCCTTGTAATGTTTTGGAGTGCCTGAATGTGGCATAATTAAAATCAAGGGAGAATACATAAATATGGACTTTTGGTACTTAAATTACCAAACTGTGAACAATCAAAGTGGTCTACATCCATGAATTTGTGAGAACTATGAACTTCCACTGTTTGTGGAAATACTATAGCTAATCGTATAAAATGTTGTGGTTCTGAAATGTGAGCATAAACATAGTACTAATTCATAAGATGCTACTAGTATACATATTTGGGCATAAACATCCACACTGGTACCAAACTTTTGCCCCGCATTAGGGACTCTGGTCCTAAATTATGAGTGAAAATTTTATCATCACTTCAGAACTTTATGTTCGAATCTTTAAATTGGAACATATAAAAACTAGAAAAGGATGCAAAAGATTCAAAATCAGCAAAAAAAAAAATAAATAAATAAATAAATAAAAGCAGAATCATCAACGGTCCTAAATTCTGAGTGAAAACTTGATCATCATAACTTTATGTAACAATCTTATAGACATAGAAAAACTTGAGCATCACTTCCTAACTTCATGTACCAATCTTTAGACAGAGAAAAACTTGAACATCACTTCCTAACTTCATGTACCAATCTTTAAATTTGAACGAATATTTTATATCCAAAATTTCAAATTGATATGTATTTGCAAATGGGGTTTGGTAATTATTCTATGAAAATTTTATAAATGGAATTGGTTCAACTTGTTTTTCATAGTTCAGTAAACATGGGTGCTGAACCACATAATTTCATAGCTATCCTTGAAATAAAGTACAGTTTTATACAAACCATTTACCTTATAAACGGCACCAAATCCACCTTGGCCAATTTTGTTGTCATCAGAGAAGTTATTTGTAGCTTCTTCAATTGTTGCAAAATCAAATGACAAGGACTGTACTGTTGTGATATCATCCTCAGCTACACGATCAACCACCAAATGTATTGAAATCAGTAATATTTCTGACACTGAAAAAGTAAATTTGGTTTACACAAGTGCAGTTGGATATCTATATATATATTTTCCGTGTATGTGTATTACCAGATTCCTTTCTGACTGTATTGGATTTCTTCCTTGCTTTCTTCGCTATGCACCAGAAGCCAACAGACAAGAGCAGCACTGCCACGACTACTGGGACAACAATGGCAATAATTACTCCGGTTGAGATTCCCCCATTTCCTGCATCAAAGAAAACTACTTGATTGAAAATTCCATATGAACAAATAATATTCCCTTGATGAAATTAATTTGGTAGACTATGTTTCATACCCCAAAAAAAAAATAAAAAATAAAATAAGATGAAAGTGCTATACATTAAGTGACCCAAAAAATTTTGTGAGGGGCGGTCTTTTAATTTGTGGGGGCAAACTTATATAGTGAGTCTATTTTGTAATTCCAATTGTTTTTTTTTTTTTTTCATAAATTTTAAAAAATTTAAGGTATAAGATGCAAAAAATAATAATAATAATAATAAATCAATGGGGAGAATTATAATTTTAGTGGGGGCATTTTCAAAAATTCTCAAAAATTTTAAAGTATAAAATGCCAAAAAAAAAAAAAAAGAATCCAGTGCGGGCGAATTATAATTTTAGTAGAGACATCTTCATAAATTTCAAAAAATTTGAGGTATAAAAAGAAAAAATAAATAATCCACCCCACTGGTTCTATGTTGGGTCCGTGCCTGATGGTAAGGGTCATATATCGAATTCAGATCCTCTCATGTGCACTGGTAATATTGTGATCGCCACCAAATTAATTCTAATAAATTATGCACTGAACAAATTTCAGTTATCCTATGTTTGGTTGCATGGAATTGGTGCATCAAACTAAGTTTTCTTCTAATTAAATTATCTCCAATTCCAATTATTAATAAAATTATCTCCAATTCGAATTCTAAGGCAGCTATTATATGCAATGGAACATAGTATAAATGTCATGACATGAGGTTCTTTAAGCAATGTCTTCAATTTTAGTAGTATAAGGTTATAATTAAGGTATGTGGGATGTGAAGTTCATACCAGTAGAAATTGGAGGAGGAGGAGGAGAAAGAATCGGTGGTGTAGGCACCGGTGGTGTAGAGGCAGTGACATTGAAGAAAGGGTAAGTCTCGTAGCGAACATTACAGCTCGGAAATATTACTCTCCCCCCCTGCTTTCTGTCGCAGCAACCTGGAATTTTGCTAATGCCATCTTGAAGGCAGGTGTTGCAATCATTAGTAGACAGGTCCGGTGTGCACTGCACAAGTGAATATATCTTCTGAAACACTGTGAAGTTGGTCTCTTGGACTGCAAACTTCTTACCTGACCCGCCACTTGCTGCCCGAGTCGCTAACTCGTTCATTGCGTTCCCCATCACCTCCATAAACCGCACAGGCTCGTTGGTCACATTTTGTTGGTTCCACATAGTTATCCAAACTGATGAGTCCGCAATGGAGAAGATATTTCTGTTGGAGTAACGTAATAAGCAAAAGTCATACCAAATCACGGCCTCTGTCCTGTTGGGACACCGCTGCAGTATCTCTTGACTTGCATTTCGGACACAATCGTGACATTGATCGGTGGTGACATCGCCCCGGCATAGAAAGAGGCCGTAGACGGCATTGGGGCTGCGACCGGCGATGATGCTATAGAATCCGGTGTCGGGTTTGGTGGCGTTGGAGGAGAGGTTGGAGAGGAGGAGATTGAGATTGGCATGGTAGGTGCTGTTAAGAGTAGTGCTGTAAGTCGTGGTGTTTGGACAGTAATCTGAAAGAGGTTGGGAGCTGCTTTTAGTGGTGAGGAGGCTAAGCAAGCAAAGAAAGTAGAGAAGGGCTATGGAGATATTAAAGGAAGGCATAGTGGGTGATCAATCAATCTCTTGCTTGGATTTGGGCATAGAAAGAGGTTGTTTGGTTTATCAAAATCGATCAGATTGAGATATAAGTTCACAGGAAATGAGTGGTGAAGGTGTTAAGGGTTGAGGCGGCTTAGAAAGACTCGATTGATTGGAGTCAATAAAGCAATTATGATTTTTAGTTTGGAATTTTTACCAGATTGTTCGTTGTAGAAAATAATGAGAGAGTGATGACATAATTGATGAGGATAGGAGTGGAATGGATATGATAGGTTGGAATTTTCTTTGCACATCGCACCAAGAAAAGGGGTCACCCATTTTTGCCTTGGTCATTTGGGTTATCTGAATCATTACCAAATTTTAATTTTTAACCAACATAGTGGATCAAGAAGATGCAAAGCCACGCTTTAATTTTTAAAATCTATTCCTTTGATTTGATAATTCTTATTTATGAGAATAAAAGCAAATGTATCATGAAAGGATTAGTGGTCTCCAAAAATTTAGTGGAGGGTTGCCAACTTTGTATTAAGTGACAAAATAAAATATATGACATCTCGTTCAACCTCACAAATTTTTTTTTTTAGTTTCATGCTTTAACTGAAATATTAAATTTTAAAAAATTAATAATTTTAAGGGGGCATTACATAAATTTTTTATATACATATATGAAAAATAAAAAAATTACTATATATATTATATAAGGAGGGCAAGTGCCCCGGGCATACACTGACTCGGCCCCTTGATTCCTTTGAAACTAATTCTTTGAGTAACAATTAATTATTTTTAGTGCAAGTATCTCCATGCGGTGTAATATCTTTCCTCACAAGGGAACCAACAGTAACACATTGTATATTTGGACCTTAAAAAAAATTAAAAAATTTTGAAACGAAATCCATTACATGCATTTCAAATTTATAATGTTAAAATATAAGGGTGGCACTGACCGAATTTAAAATGTTAAAATAAGAAAAGCACTGAGTAAATGATAAAATTTAGTTCTTATTTGTTATTCTTTAGGGAAAAAAAATGTTTTCTAATAATCAAACAAGTCCTTAGTAATTTTCAAATTTCATAAAATCCAATCATTTCTTAATGGCATATTCAAAATAGTATAATATCTCATTTACGTTAACTCTTTCAAATTTTGTTTGTTCCAAACAAAATAATTTTCATTTGCATATATGTCCTTTAGGATTTAATGATGGTTATACACCTTTAGTGTTATTTCGGGAACTTGATTAGTAAATAAGAGGAAAGAGAAGATAGGAGGACATCCGTTCAATATTGCCCCGATAGGTCCTGTTAGGAGAGTAAGGGATGCATTTTTGGAGTGATTATATGTCAAAATGGGGTTTTTGTTTGACTAGTAATGCTGAAAATTCAAAAAATAGCAATAGGTGAGTACAAATGCTAATCTCTAAACCTCTGACGATACATTCATAGTCTGTGACGTTGAATTTATTAATTTCACACTTTATAGCATACACTTATTTAACTTACATTATCTAGGGTGTAGTTCAGTAATCGATGCTTCATTCAAAGACCATTGGACAGACTTGCTTGTATATTGATCTGACTCCAGCCCTTTTGGTATGCTCGAGTCAGTTCCGCTACCGCCAAAGATAGGAGGATGTTGTGGCAATTGTAGGGTAACGGAATAACGGTTGAGCATAAGAACCACGGATGCCATGGAGGGCCTGGCATCCTCATCTTCTTGAACACACAGTAAGCCAATGTGGATGCATCTCATGACTTCCTTGCTTGAATGAGAATCTGCCAGTGTTGGATCCATCAATTCCATGGGTGTTCCATCCCTCTAATGTTTCCAAGCCTGTGACAATTGAAGTTAAAAAGACGTGTGTTGTTCCCGTTGAGATGCTCAACTTGATACAATGGGTGTAATTTGAATTTTCGGGGCATTGACGTGGGAGTAAGCAATGGTTTGAAGTGGAACATCCGGTAGAATTACTGGGCAGTGACGTGGCTATAATTTGGACTGAAATGGTTAGGAGTTTGTTTTACGAAGTATTATTATCTCGCCGGCACACTTGCCCACAGAGTCTATCACAATCCACCCCCCTTGGAGGCCCGATGTCCCCGTCGGCACAATTCCGGCTAGGTCAGGCTCTGATGCAATTTGTAATGACTCACTCCACTACATGGTATGATATTGTCCACTTTGGATCTGCGCCCGCATAGTTTTGCTCTTGAGTTTTACCCTAAAAGGCCTTATATATACCAATTATAATGACACACCTACATATAAACACTTCACCTTTTCCTTTCCCAGGCGATGTAGGATTGTGCACCCGTAACTCGCCAGTGTGGTAGCCGCCTATCAGTGTCTCGCACCCGCCCATGGGGTCTTCACAACAACCTTGCTATTTCTTTCTTTCTCTCTCTCAATCTCTTTTTATAGGATCTCTTTCTATCTCTCTTTCTCTCAATCTCCTTCTATATCTATATCTTCTCCCCTTTCTATTATCTCACTAATTAAGGCAAATTGAACTCACGAAGGAGTATATTTGTTCTCTTTCTCCTATAATTGTATGGAAGTCAAAATCCTCAAAGAGACTATCGTTGACTAAATAGACTTGAACCATACAATTAGTTCTGGCACTCCCGCAACATACAAAATTAGAATCGATGATTTTAGCGTCAACACTAGTAATCCCACTACACTAGTAAAGTAAAGTGGGATTTAATGATGGTGATGCGCCTATAGCGATATTTCAGGAAATTGATTAGTAAATCACAGAGAAAGAGCAGATAGGAGGACATTCGATCAATAATTTCCATGATAGGTCCTGTTAGGAGAGTCAAAGATGCATTTGTGCAGTAATTAGAGATGGAAAATGGGATTTTGTTTGACAAGTAATGAAACATGCTGAAAATTTTAAAATTAGCAATAGGTGAGTACAAATGCAAATCTCTCAATCTCTGATGATATATATACACATTCAGATCCTGTGACCTTGAATTTATTTATTTCACTCTTTACAGCATACACTTACTTTTCTAACATTATCTAGGGTGTAGTTCAGTAATTGAGGCTTCAATCAAAGACCATTGGACTGACTGGCTTGTAGATTGATCTGACTCCAGCACTTTTGGTATGGTCGACCCGGTTTCGCTACGGCCAAAGATCGGAGGATGATGGGGCAATTTTAGAGTAACAGAATAACTGTTGAGCATAACAACCACAGATGCCATGGAGGGCCTGGCATCCACATCTTCTTGAACACACAATAAGCCAATATGGATGCATCTAATGACTTCATTTCTTGAATTTGAATCTGCCAGAATTGGATCCAACAATTCCATGGATGTTCCATTCTTCCAATGTTTCCAAGCCTGTGACAATTTGTCAATTGATGTTTAAAAGATGTGTTTTGTCCCTAAATGCACGTTGCAATGCTCATATTGATATTAACAAACAAAAATAACAAATTTAATATTCAGTTTTGCACTCACAAAGCTCAGAAGGTCTCTGGCACCATCTGATTCATTGAAATTACTATTTTTCTTGCCGGTTATGATCTCTAGAATTAGTACTCCAAAACTGAACACATCAGACTTTACAGAGAATTGTCCGCGCATTGCATACTCTGGAGACATGTAACCACTGTAATCCAACACATCAATTCAAGAATACAACAACAAAGTATGTTTGACACTTAATAGTAAAGCTAAACATTTGATAATGCAATGCATAAGCAACAATTAAAGCACAGACTAGTACTTGTTAGAAGGAAGCTAGCTGTTTTGTCTGAGTCGAAGAAGTGTGGGATTATCAAAATGACCTTTGGCTTTTTCTTCCCCACCTAACTTCTAGTTGAGATTAGACATTCTTTATCTGTTAATTCAAACTATGGGATAGAATGAAGCTGGGGATTTTGGGATTGGAAAACTCACTATGTCCCAACGATTCTTTTCGTATTTCCTTGAGTTTGATTCACGCCAAAAATCCTTGCCATGCCAAAATCTGAAATTTTTGCACTCATATCTTCATCTAAAAGTATATTACTAGCCTTGAGATCACGATGTATAATTCTAAGTCGAGAATCTTCATGAAGATAAAGAATTCCACGTGCAATGCCTCCTATAATCTTGTAACGTCTTGACCAATCCAACTGAACTCGTTTTGCCGGATCTATACATTGATCATAATAAATATTCAGAGTTAGAATAGAGAGAACTTAGATTTCATAACAATATTTTTATTTATTTTTAACAATCATACAAATGCAGTGTACTTAATGCCATGACTCACAATATAGAAACCCAAAATAAATAAACTATTTCTTGGCCTTTAGAACATCTATATACACAGTATATATGTTTATTTAAGATCCAATTTTTTTGTTTGCTAATTCAAATAGGGTGTTATGGAGATAATGTATTTGTAAGTAGTAGAACATAAAAAAAATAGATAAATTCAATAACTGGATAAATTTTTAAAGATGGGCCAAACCAAATAGGATATAGTCAAGGCTTTTGTTGGGGACGTATTCATAGATAAGCAACTTTTCTTCTCTTTCCAAGCAGAATCCCAGCAGTCTAACTAGATTTCTGTGTTGAAGCTTGGCTACCAATACAACTTCATTCTTGAATTCTTCTGCACCTTGTCCGGACCTTTTGGATAGTCTCTTCACAGCTATCTCTTGTCCACTTGAAAGTGTACCCTGTGTATTTATGTTATAATGATAATCAATTATTGAATATTTTATCTAAAACTTCATTAATCTGTAAAGTTTTGGAGTGTCTGAATTTGGCATACTTAAAATCAAGGACGAACTATATAAGTATTGACTTTTGTTCCTTAAATTACAAAACTGTGAACAATTCATAAGATGAGGACTAATTCATAAGATGTTATTGTCCCATGCACCAGTATGTATATTTTGGACTGTGGTACTAAATTACCGAATGAGTGAAAACTTGGACATCCCTACTTTATGTTCCAATCTGTAAATTTGAACATACACATTGATAAATTTATGAACCAGTGCATAATTTTTTGTACGCCAAAATTACAAATCGATGTGTCTTGGCAATTGGGGTTTTGGTCTTTAACAAAGTATATACAGCTGAAAGTTTATGTAAATGGAATTGGTCCAACTAGTTTTTCATACTTCAGTAAACATGGGTTCTGAACCATATAATTTGGTAGTTATCCTTGACATA